CTTCTTGGTTCCTTGATTTTCCTCTCCTCCAATGACTTTCACAACTGTGATCTATATTAGCAACCCTTGTGAAATGGCCTTGGTTCAGGATTCATTATTTCTGAGAATTTCAAGATGCTTGTCTTCTCAAATTTCTCTGGGAGGAAGTAATGACTGAAGACTGTGGACACTCACACTGAATGCACTCTTTGCTGTCATCTCAGCTTCCCAGCAACTCCCTTTGGCTTCTTGTTCCTAGTTTGATTCTTAGCCTGCTCCACATAGGCCATCATTCCAATGATGGTCATTAGTCTGACAGAATTTCCCCAGGACCGCTTTGCCGATCCTCAACTCTAAGCACTTTACCATTCTTTTTCTCTGATTTAGTCACCAAATTCCAGAGACTTTGTATGACTATGTGGACTGAATCCACCTCAAGGTCCTATCATCCGACCTTTGCCATGCACACTGATACTTCTTGACAGTGCTTTGGTTTATTACTAGTGGACTCCTCTCTTCATAGTGGCTGCTCTGACCTTTCTGTTCTTCAACCAGTCTTAGTCCCCTTTGAGTGGATGACCTCACCAAGGAGGCAGACATCATCGAACAGGCATGTCCATAGCTCCTTGTTCTAACAGAGTCTCTCTCCACAACTACTTATCTCTCCAGTCACCTCATTCTATTCTCTTTGCGTCCTTCTTACCAATAAACTTTTCTAGAATCAAAATGCTTTTGAGCTGGGCACAGTGGCTCATGCCTGTAATCTCACCACTTTGGGAGGCTGAGGTGGGAGGATCAATTGAGCCTAGGAATTTGAGACCAGCCTGGGCAACATAGTGAGACCTCATCTTCACAAAAGAAAAAAACTCTTTCCTTCATTTTTTTTTTTATTATACTTTAAGTTCTAGGGTACATGTGCACAACGTGTAGGTTTGTTACATATATATATACATGTACCATGTTGGTGTGCTGCAGCCATTAACTCATCATTTACATTAGGTATATCTCCTAATGCTATCCCTTCCCCTCCTACCCCCTCCCCACAATAGGACCCGGTGTGTGATGCTCCCTTTCCTTTTAGTCCCTTGTAATTTGGCTTTATGCCCCACTCCTACAAAACTTTAAGGTTATCAAAGACTTCCTAGTTACTAAGTGTAAACTTCTTCTAAGTTCCATCCTTCTCTATATTGTAAATCAAGCCCTGCTTGTTGAAATGCCTCCCTTGGCTTCTATGATTATTTCCCACTCTTTGTTAGCTCCTTTCTCCTCCTTACGTGTATGGTTGGCTGTTGGTTTTCTCCTGGCCCCTGTTCTATTTGATCCTTGGGTTGAGATCCCGAGGAGCTAAAATCTTTGGGGAACATCCCATTTCTTAGCAGAACATACACAAGATTGTTAATGGCTTGGCCCCTTCCTACCTCTCCATTCTCTTACTTACCATTGCATAGAATTGTCCTACATTCCAGCTACCCAGAATTACTGGTGGTTCCCAACAGTCTTGCCTTATTTTCTGCCTGGTACACATTTCCCTCTTCCCATCCCTTGCTGTGTAATACCTATTAGCACAGCAAGACTCAGCTCTGAGGCACTGTCTCCTCTGAGAATTTCCCCCTTACTCCTGTCTGGGTTATGTACCGTTCTGTGCTCCTTGCTATCATGGCACTGTGCCATCAGTCTATTTATTTGTCTGTCTTTCCCATTAGAGTTCAGGCCCCTTGAGGGCAGGGCTGAGATTTGTTCACTTTTATCACCCACCACAGTGGCTGACACAGGATTGGTACTCAATAACTGCTTAAAAAATGGAGTCAATCATCATCTCTTTACTAAGCAGGTGATCCAACTAACCTCTAGATTTGCATTTCCTATAGCGTGCTACCTCTATGCCAGGTTATCATGACCTAGTTCAAGGATAAACTAATTTAATTATCATGGATTAATACAGGTGATTTTAGGTTTCTTCTTTTTGTTCATCCCTTACTTTATGGGTCCAGCACGCTTCCGCTGCGTGACTCCGCTTTTTTATCCCATACTTTAAAAATCTTTCGTGAACAAGTATTATTTTGGTTAAAAGAAAATGATCTATTTAAAAAAGGATCTATCTTTTTTTTTTTTTTAAACAGTCAAATAGTTACATACAGTATTACTTAATCCTCATTTGCTTCTAAGGAACAAAAATCCAAATGAAACCACATTAAGCAAAAGGGAGGTGGGGTAGGATAGCAAAGAACAGAAATGTGGCAGGTCTTGGTAAATCCTAGACCCAGGATGCTGGATGCCCTGAGAATTCTCTCTTCTTTCTCGTCTCCAGCCCATATAGCAGGTGAGAGGACAGGGGACAATTCACAAGGTTTACTGTATCTTCAGCCACACAGAGACTTTATTTCCAGCTCCAGAATTCCCAAAGAGCAGGTTCCATCCAACACTGGCCAGAGGTGATATGTCATGCAGTATGATAAATCCCAGTCACCCTGAGGCTGGAAGGCACATCTTTAAAAACTGGGGGGTAGATGCTGGGGCATGGCAAACAACAGGTATCTATCTTGGAGTCTTCTCCTGCCCACGAGTTCCTCCAATTATCAAAATGCTTCCCATGATTAAAGCTCAATCTTAAATGACACTTCCGCTGTAAAAACTCCACTGATCTCCAGCCAACCAAGTCTTAACTACTTCTTCCCTCTGTGCTCTTCATTCTACTTTATTTTATAGTAAGTACATATGACTGTAAACTCACAAGAGAAAGAATATAGTATTTAATAGAATTAACTCTAGATTTTAAAGTCAGATCTGAATTGAAGCTCTGATTTCCACAGCAACTAGTTAGGTGACTTTGGGCAACTTCCTTAGCTTCTGAGTTAAATTTCCTCATTTGTAAGAAAAATGGTGGCCGGGTGCAGTGGCTCACACCTGTAATCTCAGCACTTTGGGAGGCTGAGGCGGCCTGATCACCTGAGGTCAGGAATTCAAGACCAGCCTGACCAACATGGGAAAATCCCATCTCTACTAAAAATACAAAATTAACTGGGCATAGTGGCACATGCCTGTAATCCCAGCCACTTGGGAGGCTGAGGCAGGAGAATCACTTGAATCTGGGAGGTGGAGGTTGCGGTGAGCTGAGATCATGCCATTGCAACCCAGCCACAGCAGCAAGAGTGAAACTCCGTCTCGAAAGAAAGAAAAATGCCATAAGGAGTTGGGGACAGAGTAGTATCTCATATGTCCTTGGGAGGATGACAGACAATGTTTGGGAACCCCTTGCAGAGTCCTGGAAAACAACAGGGTAGGCACTCAAGCATTGCTAGTTTTCTCCAGGTTTCTCTCTCTAGACTCTGAGTTCCTCAAAGATAAATCTTCCACTGTGTTTATTAAATACTTCAAAGGTAAGTAGGTCTTCATCAAACTCTCTTGAATAAAATTCCTTTCAGGTGTCTTCCCAGCCAGATTTAGCTGGCTGTATTAACACTTATTGAGAGGTTCTAACTGCTTTGCATGTATCAGCTTAATCTTCATGATAATCCCAGGAGGTAGGCTTGTCTCCATTTTACAGATAAGGAAACAGGTGAAGAAAAACTAAAAAACTTGATGGAAGTCAAATACTATTAAATGAAGAATGATGCAAGAGCTCTAGGGCCCCCCACTTCTAATAGTTGATTTTTTTCATTCCTTTAATTAAACCTTTCCAAGAGACTTATAGCCTCCTATGGCTGATGACAGTGGTCTTCCTAAGATTTCACCAAAAATACAGAGTTGCACTTAACCATGAAGGACCTACTTATGCACCATGTTGCAAATGCCACAGGTCCCAACCAGGAGATTTCAATCTACTGGATGATCCTGATGTTTTATCTGATAAAACTTCAAGCTGGCTACCAGCATTGCTACACCCAACTAACAACTTGCATAACTGTCCCACCAGGCAACCATGGGAACTCAAAAATGGCTTTTCACTAGGAAAAGGATGAGGAATCCTAGCCTGAGCTCTTTATCTCTTTACTTCATTGTTAAGGCTAATAGTTTAAATATCAACTTTGATTTTATCTCACCAATCACTATTATCTAGATCGCCTGTGCTTGAAATGACTTAGGTAAGTGGAAAATAGAACGTATGGGAGAGTTCAACTGATTCTCACACTTGCATGGCAGATGCGTTTTTAAGGCATCTGCACCTCAATTTTGTGACAAGTCACAACTATATTATTTGACAAATGAAGAAACAGAGATTCACAGAAGTTAAGTGACCCAGCAAAGATGGGCGTGTATTTGTGTTACAATGTAGGACTTCTGTCCGGGGATTTCTCTACTTATATCATTGTTTTTAGGACACAAAAAGCAGCTGTAGAAATTTTTGCTTGGTCATAGTTTAGGGAATAAATGTTGTATTTTGGGGGTGAAAAAGGCATTCTTTTCTTTGAAACCAGGTTTAAAAAGGGAGGGTCCTTAAATTTCAGGTCTCATAAACACACTCCAGGAAAGATACACAAAAATGTAAAGGAGAAAGAATGGCATCTATTGGGGCAGGAAATAATCTAAGTGTCCTTCAATCTGTGTCCCTCATTGGGAAACTTTTTTGTGGGGGAATGGGTAGTGTTGGGATCATCCCAGCCTTAAGTAGACTGACTGCAAAGGTAGTCGTCATCTGCTGCACTGTGAGTTCTCATCCCTCCCCCTTTATTACCTCCTCCCACAGTCACGCTTGTATCTTCATCTGAAGTTTAGAAATCGTTGCTTTGGTTGACTGCCTGGTACTAACCAACAAGTGCCATTGCTGTAATTTCTAAAATTAAAAAGTTCATACACGTAAGATTTTTGTAGTTTTTCTTAATTTTTAAAGGTGTACATCTCCTGTGTTTTGTGACTGAAATTGGCTCCAGTCTCTTCATGCTGCTGTGTCCAGTCTCTGAAATAGTAATTTCACTCATGTTTGGTGGAGGATATTTAAGAAAAAACTCTCAGAAGGGTAGCAAACTTTACTGATCCTAAAATCTAGTAGGTGAACAAAGGAAATGACAAATTTTTAATCAAAGTAAGCAATAATGACAGGTTTATTGAAAATTTCCAGTAGAGAAAACCCACTAGTTTTGGAATAAAAGTACTCAATGTACGAGAGCATAAGTGAATACAAAAGATTAACAGAAGAAAGATAAAACCAAACATAGTACAAAAAAATTTAAAAAGTGTGAAATGAATTCAAACTGGGATGTTCTTTAAATCTTCCAAATATTTAACAGAGGTACTAAGTTTGGCAAAAAATTCACCTGAAAATTAAAGCCTATTTCTGTACTGTAAACTCCGTAAAAACTGCTTATTAAATTCAAGCACTCCATATAACTGGTATTGAAACATGTAAGCAATTTCAGAATAGCAGGAATTATTCATTTGTTCTCACAGTTACATGAATTAACCAGCTGCAGAACTGCCTTTTGAAGAGCATGAGATAAAAGAATGCCAAAAGAGAGAGAAAAAAATGATAAAAATCTCTAAAAAATGGAAACACAGCAAAATTCAGATATCAGTTTGTTTCTTTAAAGCAACAAACTGAATTTTTACAGTATAGTCTACATTTGCAGTTGTCATTTCCCTCTTCCCCCCACCCACCTCAAATACTCCTAAATTCACTAGTCTAATCAATTCTTAACTTCCAAATACTCTGTACATACATATTTAGCAAAGAGCATATGCCTAGCATTATTCTGACAGCAAGTATGGTCAGTATACAATTTTAGAAAGATTATTATGTATATCATCAAGACTAACCTTTACTTAAAACAAACAAAACCATCGCTAAACAAATAGTTTTAAAATATTATGAAAACCCATGAAAAGAAGACTCAACATGGGCTCTAAACCTGATAAAACACGTTTCAGAACAACTATTAATGCTAAACTTCTGCCCAACGATGACCTTAAAGTGCCAAACACCAAAGAATCTCTTAGGACCATTTTCTAATAGACAATTTGTCCCTGGCTTGGCCATTTCTCCTTTAACTATACACAAAGTCCTGCTAAAAGTCTGCATTTTAGTTTGATTTTACAACAGAATGTTACGATGTAAACTAAACAGGTTCTTGATATCAACAGTATGTTACCAAGGTGGTTTTTTTTGTTTTGTTTTGTTGTTTAAATTTCTGAATCCAACAGTTGGTCACAGAGGTCAAGTATTATCAAGGCTCCTTTGTCAGTTCTCAATCGTGTCTGACTCATCCATCCTTCAAGTACATGCAAGGCTCAATAGTTTTCAAGAGGCAGATGCCTGGGGCCATTTAAGACACAGATGAAATAGGATTATGAGGTGAACCCATTTGAGTAAGAACTTTATCCAGCCACTGGAGGGGGCCGTGCAGATGTATCTCAATCCAGCAGGGGGTGCTAGTAACATCCTGGCGGTGGTATTCTGCTCCCCAGCCCTAGGAAAAACATACTGGAGGTCATTTAACTTGTTTTAACTCAGTGGTTAAACTTATTAAGTAAGAAGGGTTCACATAACCAAGACTCTGATTAAAGCTATGCATCTTTCCTCCCTGCCCCCCGCCGCCGGGGAGAAAAAAACACACATATACAAACACACATATAATTTGGCAGGCAATTTCAAAGGATGGATGTTAGCTCCCCAGGGTCCATCCATGGATTCCAATAAGAATTACCAGTCTTGAGGAATGAAGATTTTAAAATACATTATCAAGTTGTCTTAATAAAGGCACTGTAAAACTTTTATTTTAATTGCCCATTTCTGATAGTAATGTAATAGCTATTATTAAATTCTCATTTTATCAAGAAAATAAAACAAAAAAGCTATGCTAGACAGACTGACATTCAATTTCTTCCTTATTCGGCCACTGAATCAGCCTCCTATCAACACACAGCTCTTGATCTTTCAATCTCTAAGCAAAACGGGCAGGAGTACATTTAAGTATCCAAAAAGCTATTATTGACACCTAGCCATTGCCATGAATCAATACATTCTATCATTCATTTGTACAAGAAGGTAGCTTGTCAGAACTACTGCATTAAGACAGTAGAGTTCCACAGAATAAAGTCACTATGAAAAAGAGAAAAGTAACTGCTACTGCAAAGATCAAAAACTCACTGGTGGGGATGGACAATGATTAATCCTTTAGTCACTGTTTCATGAGGAGTATCAGAGAAGGTTGGGTTCTATTTATTTCTGCTACCTATCTACTCCAGTAGTTTTAAGAAATAGATCTGGGGCCAGGTGCAGTGGCTCACACCTGTAATCCCAGCACTTTGGGAGTCCGAGACGGGCAGATCACCTGAGGTCGGGAGCTGCAGATCACCTGAGGTCGGGAGCTCCAGACCAGCCTGGCCAACATGGTGAAACCCCATCTCTACTAAAAATATAAAAAGTAGCCAGATGTGGTGGTGTATCCCTGTAATCCCCGCTACTTGGGAAGCTTAGGCATGAGAATCACTTGAATCCAGGAGGCGGAGGTTACCATGAGTCAAGATCACACCACTGCACTCCGGCCTGGGTGACAGAGCAAGACTCTGTCTCAGGCAGGTGGATCACTTGAGGTCAGGAGTTTGAGACCAGCCTGGCCAACATGGCGAAACTCTGACTCTACTAAAAATACAGAAATTAGCCGGGTGCTGTGGCACACGCCTGTAATCCCAGTTACTCGGGAGCCTGAGGCAGGAGAATTGCTTGAACCTGGGAGGCGGAGGTTGTAGTGAGCCGAGATCACACCATTGCACTCCAGCCTGGGCGACAGAGTAAGACTCTGTCTTAAAAAAAAAAAAAAAAGAAAGAAAGAAAAGGAAATGTATCCGAACATCAAAACTTGTATAAACTACATCTATATAGATATATGTATCTACATAGATGTACGTACACTCATGCGTTTGTAAATATAAACAAACTCCTAAATTTAATTTACAGGCTTATGTGCAGGTTTCCTCCATCAGATATCAACATCTTTGAAGGCAGGAATTTATCTTTACCTCTGATATATAGCATAACGACAGAAGGCAGAAGCTCTATAAATATGTGTTCAGCTGAGCTGACTTGGACTTTTCAGACATAGAGTTTAAAGTACAAATAATTTATAAAATATGTTTTATGTTAACATCCAAAAATGATCATTTTGAAAACAGCTCAAGATTGGCTACTGTTAGTAAAATGTTCTGTTATAATTTCTTTAAAATGTTGAGTGGGAGAGGATAAAGTGTGCAGTCCATATAATAAAGAACAGTTCTGTAAAAACAGTGTGCACATTTTTTGTTGCTAATATATGATAAACAGTTTCTCTTTAACATTCAGCAGGATTTTTAAATATTATTTACCTTCGGCTCTCTAAATCCAACTTCCAGGCTAAGTTCATTATATCTTGTATAATTCTCCATTCTAGTGCTTATCAGATTATAATTAAAGATATACTAGAGCATAAGGATCTTGATAATAGAGACTTTAGGTGCTTTTTCATCTTTGTATTACTTCTCTGAAATAGTGCTAAAATATCTGCTGAACGAATAAAATCTAATAAATTTTGAATGCATAACTTTGCATTATAAATACTTTTATTAGTGTAAAAGTTGTTTTTACTTGTGTAAAAGTAAATTATTAAAACTGTACAAAAGTAAAATAATGAACATTGATTGGATAAACAATAAGAAATGAGTTTGAGCAGGAAGCTAATTGGAACATTAAAGTCATAAATTCTCCTAGAGTGGTCCTTCAATAATAGACTCACTAAGGGACCTTAATAATAATTACCACAGTTCTCAACTCCATTCACCCCCATTTCAAAGATAATAAACATGAGAACCAGAGAAGAAATCTGCCTTAATCACACAGTTAAAATGGCAGAAAAAAACTGGAAACTGCACCTCGACTCTCAAGAGTTGTTCTTTCCTCCATACCAATAAAAACAATAAACGAAAACACTTCTGGCAGGTCACTGTTCTAATTTTAAAAACCATTTGAGCCAAATGCTAAGTCAAAAATTAAACAGCACATGTTAATAATGAATAAGATAGGTCTTTGTAGCCCCATATGTACATAGCATATAGGTCAACCTCTTCAAAGGGTAAAAAAATTTTCTTAATACTAACAAGGTACCAGACTCTGCTACAAATAACTGTTGAAGTACACTGCAAAAAGGAAGCAAGCAAGCAAACAAACAAAAACAAACACTAAGGGAACACATTGAAAATCTAAGATGCTTTAAATAAGTAGGAAAAGTAATTATATTCAGGAAAAGGTATCTTTGATCTAAGGGATGATTAACAAGTAAGGCTCCAAAATTATCCTCAGTAATAAATACATTACAAAACAGGTTTAACAACAAGTTTGGTGAGCTTCTGAACAGAAGACATAAAAGGTAATTGCCTCACTCAAATATATAATTAGTTCTGTTTCTCAAAGTACAAGAGGATGAAACTTATTTTTGAGAATTCAGAGACAGGTCAGTTACTAGAATAAGTCACTGACTCATGAAATCTAATCAGACATTTAAGGTTTTTTAGATTTCAATGGCATCCTAAAAATTTTTATTTCTCAGAGGCAGAAGATGAGACAGCAAAAAGATCAATTATTATGAGCAATGTGTTTAACCTTCTCCCTCATCAAACCTTACAACGCAATCTTTGAGCTAAGGCATCTATTTATCTTGGGCAAAGGCCTTATTAACTTTTGAATTGTTAAGAAAATCATGAGGCTTACTGAAACCACTAAAAAAACCTGACCAAACACAATTTCCAATGTGATGAACTTTAATTTTTACAAAAAGATCACTTCCTTACTCTTGAAACAAAAACAAGCATTACCATCATAAAAGTACTAAAAACAAAGAACGAAAAGTAAGGAAGATATGTTTACTCAACTGATCTTGTAAAACAACCATGTATTTAAATTATATTTTAAATATGTAACATAACATATTCTACTGGTAATACAATAGCTAAAGCGGTGCTATCTGAATAAGGAAAAGGCTATTAAAACCCACAGCTATTGATATTTAATACAAGTACTCCTATGTTCCTATGATATTTTCCTAATAATTGACACTCTTGTTACAGTTTAAAAATGCCTAGATAATAAGTCAGCTAATATGAACATATTATCAAGAAGATATAGATTCACATATTGCCAAAAAAAAAAAAAGCACAGCAAAAGTATGTAAGACCCTAAATGGAGCAGTCAGAGTTCACTTACCTTCACAAAGCTCATACGTATAGTACACATTTTTGTAAGCTCATAGACTGTCTCAAATCCATGGTTCACAGACTGTGCCAATAACTGAGCAAATTCTTGGTTGTTAAAAATTTTCAGACTACACCCACTAGGGATCTTGCAAACAGTAGTAGGATGAAATCCATGATGGTAGTTGCAGTTCCGACTTTGCACAAAGATGCTACTGTCACTAAGGCATTCGGCATATACCTCCCCTCCAACATAATAAAGATGAACTCCTATTGGAAGACAAAGCATATAATTTAGTTATTATTAATTTTTATAGCTCAAAGGCACCTGTGCAGCTTCAACACAGAAACTTAAATTTACATGGATTTAAACTTTGGCTAGTTAGATAGCTATTCTCTAAGTCCTGTACAACAGGAGTCCCCAACCCCCGAGGCCATGGACCCGTATCAGTCCGTGGCCTGTTACACAGCAGGAGGTGAGTGAGCAAGCATTACAGCCCGAGCTCCACCTCCTGTCAGATCAGTGGCAGCATTAGATGCTCATAGAAGCATGAACCCTATTGTGAACTGTGCATGTGAGGGATCTAGGTTGCGTGCTCCTTATGAGAATCTAATGCCTGATGATCTGAGCGGAACAGTTTCATCCTGAAACTATCCCTTCCCCATCCCCTGTGGAAAAATTGTCTTCCATGAAATCGGTCCCTGGTGCCAAAAGATTGGGGATGGCTGATGTATGATTGATAAAATCTTAGTTAACTGTATTAGTTAACACAGTATCTAGGAGGTTTCTAGAAAAATAACAAAATGTTTAAAAAAATACTAATAGGCCAGGCACAGTGGTTCAGACCTGTAATCTCGGCACTTTGGGAAGCCAAGGTGGACAGATTGCTTGAGTTCAGGAGTTCAAGACTAGCCTGGGCAGCATGGCGAAACCCCATCTCCACCAAAAAAAAAAAAAGAAAAAAAAGAAAAAACATCAGCTAGGCACAGTGTTGCACGCCTGTAGTCCCAATTACACAGAGGCTGAGGTGGCAGGATTGCCTGAGGCAAGGAGGTCAAGGCTGCAGTGAGCTGTGATCAAGCCACTGCACTCCAGATTGGGTGACAGAGTGAGACCGTGTCTCAAACAACAACAACAACAACAACAAAATGAAGCGATTTCATTTTGGTAAGTAATTAATGTCCTACTTGGCCAGACATGGAAAGTATATTTTCACTCTAAAAATACAACATAATAAAACCTGGATGCTATGTATTTACTATAAAGCACTCTTGCATTTATTGTACAGCTAAGATGTTTGGAAAATTTTAGAAAGGGAAGAGAGGAGAAAGAGAAGAGAGGAACTGTAAAGTCACAGGTGGAAGAAGTATTGCCAAGAGCTGTAAGATATAAGATCCAGTAAAAAAACCATGAAAATGAAACTAGAAAAGTCATACGGTGTATGTAAAATTAGATCTCACTAAACTATCACCTGCTCCAAACTTCTTCCTTTGAGACCCAGACTGCTTAAAGTGTAGCAAATTGGTCTTACCCTGCCTTTAAAAAAAGGAAAGTAGGGGTAAAAAACTCATTCTCACAAAGCCCCACACCACTGTGGGAGATGACTTTATATAGGTCCCCCAGCAGCGTTAGATCCTATGTGGGTTTAAATGATCCACCTTGTAGGTAACTCTGGTATGGCTTAGTCAAGGCTATACTGTGTCTCATAGAAAATGTTACATGTTGTGTTTATATGTATACACAACAGTTAGGATTTCTGTAACAATTAAATAGCCGCTGGAGCAGAAGCCCATTTGTTTGGCCTGATGTAGATAAAACAATTTAAGAGTGTGTGTGCTACTAATTTTTCCTGATAAAAATGACAAATTTTCATCCTGAAAAATCAGAAAGTAAATCAAAATATAAAGAGGTAGAAAATATTATCACTCTTTTAGCGACTCAGAGGCAATAATTATTAATAGTTTGATACACTGTATTTGGTTTTGGCTATCATTAAAATGTCTTTGCAAACATTTAAAATATCTGTATGATTGTATGAGTGTTTTTAAAATGATTTTCCCATTAGTGGACCACTGGGCTGATAGCAATTTTCTGCTTTTATAGTAATGCCATGATAAATGTCTCTGGACAATTTTTGATAATATCCTTAGGAGAGATTCCTGGAAGTTAAATTATTGGATCGAAGGCTGCTGATTAACTCTGCCAAATGACTTTCCAGAATGCATCAATTTACACTGTCACCAGCAGTGTAGGAATGCTTTTCTCATTTCACCCGTGCCAGTACTGAATCTGCGTGTAGAGCAAAAATAAAATTTCCCTAATTTATAGTTGACAAATAATTGTTTAATCTGCCTGTGAGGCTGGATATGTTCTCAAAGTTTATCAGCCATCTGTGTTTCTCTTGTGAATTCACTGTTCATATTTCTTACCTATTTATCTCACTGGGGTCCTATTTTTAATTTTTTTTTTTATGAACTGTTCATGTAAGAAGGATATAAATACTTTCTTATTTGTTTCCCTGTTAGTCGTTTGTCTTTTATTTGTGACATATTTTTAGCCTACAGAAGTATGCAATCTCTTAGTCAAACCTTTAACAATCCTTTGTTGCTTTTTATGCTTAGAAAATTTCTACTTCTCTGACCAAGCATATTTTCTTCTAGCTTTTTAATTGTTTGCCTTTTGAAAAACATTCAACGCATTAATCTGTTTGCATATATAGTATGAGGTCAGGGTTTCTCTTTTCCAGCCTCACCCAAAAGTTAACTTGGTTTTGTAGAACCATTAGAAGACTCTACTGATTTGCTATGCTTCACTTAACATACATTATATTTTTATGTACAGAATAGTCTGAGTTTAACTCATTCTACTGTTTTGTCTACACATTGATTTACTTATAGTTTTACAATGTTTTATTAACCCTAATGCCAATAATTTTTTTCTTTATTTTTCCATTTACAAAGTTAGCTAGCCTTACTTGCTTATTCTTCCAGGTAATATTCAGAATACATTTTCCAATTTTCAAAAAAATCACACTGTGATTCTGAAAAGAGTTGCTTTAACCTATAAGTCAAATTAGATGGAATTAATACGCTTAAAATGTTCTCACAATATTAAGCCTTCCCTTTAAGGAACACGGACTGCCTATTTATTCAAATTTTCCTTCTCTCAGTTAAATTTGGTTTCTTCATGTAATTCTCACATATTGCAGGTTCAGATTATTTCAAAGAAACTGATGTTTTCTGTGGCTATTGGGAAAGGGATTTCTCCTTTCATTATATTTTCTAACTGGTTATTACCAGATTAAAGGAAACTGACTTACATAATTTTTAAAAGATAGATTCTTTGGAGGTTTCTAGATAAATAATCATATCATTTGAATAGGCACAATGCCCAACCATAATACTGGCATGGATGAAGGGAGAAAGGCACTCATATATTTCTGGTAGGAATGCAAATTCCTTTTATGTATGTATGTATTTATTTTATTTTAATTAATTTATTTATTTTGAGACAGTCTCCCTCTGTCACCCAGGCTAGAGAGCAGTGACTTGATCTCAGCTCACGGCAACCTCTGCCTCCCAAATTCAAGTGATAACTTTTCCTCTGCCTCCCGAGTAGCTGGGATTAGAGGCATGTGCCACCACATCTGGCTAATTTCTGTATTTTTAGTAGAGACCTGGTTTCACCATGTTGCCCAGGCTGGTCTCGAACTCCTGACCTCAACTGATCCACCTGCCTTAGCCTCCCAAAGTGCTGGAATTTCTTTTTGGAAAGTAATTGGGTGAAATATATCAATAGATTTTGATCTACTAATTTCACTTCAAGAATCTATCCTGAGAATATTGTCAATCACACATATCATCTACACATAATAATCTGGCCTTATTTCCATTATCTATAATTGTATATTTGAGTACACTATTCAGGGCATCTAGAACAATTTTAAATAACAGCATTCCAAGAATCCTTATTTTCTTAATAATGTTTTAGGAGGATATGTCCCATAGTACATTTTTTTTTTTTTTTTTCTACTTTGGGATAAGAGTCATCTTTAGAATTTAATGAAAAGTATGTCCTTTCCTCCCAAATGTATGCAAAATGTTGTTTATATACAATTTCAGAGGTTTACAGACCATAGAGAGATATCTATGTATGTTATGAACCTAGGTTCTAGCATTTCATTATTAAATTTATAGTCAGAGTTTTTTCCTTTAGTTATATAAGAAAGTATCTACCAATTCCTGATTTAAGAGTTGGAGTTTTCTTCCCGTCAGGATTAAATGTTACACTTTATCTTGAGTGCTTTTAAAGCATCTAATAAATAACCTTTTAATCTGGTCCACTGTTCTAAATTTCACAGGTCACTGTTTCATACTTTTACCCCGGAAATAATTTCCGATTTGTAGAAAAGTTTGAAAGGGAACACAGAAAAACAGAACAAAGAATACCCGTATAACCATTATCCAGATGCATCTATTGTGACAATTTACTCCATTTGCTTGATCGCTTGGGCCCTCTCTCTCCACTGCTGCTGCACACGCACCATGCATGTGTGTGTGTGTCTGTCTGTCTGTATGTATTGTAACACAGGTTTTAGGTAGATAGATGGTGAGTAGACAGGTATCTATATACTAATTTATTCCTGAACCACTTCCTTACTTAAGTATTTCCTAAGAATAGGGATAGTCTCTTATATAGCCATAGTGTAGTTGGCAATGCTAATACATTTAACATTGGTCTAATCCACCATTCATATTTCGGTTTTGCCTGCTGACCTCAACAATGTCCTTTACAACATTAATATTTTTCTCCGGTTCAGTACAGGATCATATCCAGGGCTAGATACTGCATGCAGGTGTCATATCTCTTTAACTACTTTTAATCTGGAACATTTCCATACCTTTGTCTTTTGACACTGATATCTTGGAAAAATTAGTCCCCCTTCTTCACCCTTTTTAATAGAATGTTTTGAGTCTGTCTGATATTTCCTCAGGATTAGATTAGGATTTGCATTCTCAGCTGGAATCCTGCGTAGGTGATGTTATGGCCTTCTCAGGGTATGACATCTGGAGGTATATGATACCCATCTGTCTCTCATTGGTGATGATAATTTTGATCTCCCAGTCAAAACTGGGCATCCATCAAATATACAATTACAATTAAAATACAAATGGTACAGTTTCTCCACTGTTTAGTTAATGCTTTTTATTCTCCCTCATACTAAAAGGCAGTTTGAGGGTAAACACTCTTAAGACCATGCAAATATACTGATTCTCATACACATTTTCTTTATATTTAGCATCCATTGATGATTCTTGCCTGATCATTACTATGATGGTTGCAAAATGATGATATTCGAACTTTAGCACTCACTCTGTATTTATCAACCAGCCTTCCCCATTCACTTATTTATCTATTTATTATGAGTATGGACTTACAAATTCATATTGTTTTTCAATGGTGTAAAATTCAATGCCATACTGAGGCCAGGCACAGTGGCTCACAACCTGTAATTCCAGAACTTTGGGAGGCCAAGGCAGGCTGATCATTTGAGGTTAGGAGTTCGAGACCAGCCTAGCCAATAAGGTAAAACTCAACGACTCTACTAAATATACAAAAATTAGCCGAGCATGGTGGTGCACACCTGTAATCTCCCAGTTACTGAGGAGGCTGAGACACAAGAATCACTCGAACCTGGGAGGTGGAGGTTGCAGTGAGCCAAGATCACACCACTAGACTCCAGCCTGGGTGACAGGGGGAGACTCCATTTCAAAAAAATATAAATAAATAAAATGAAGTAAAATTCGTCACTGTAATTATTTTGGGGCTCAAATTGTCTGAGAGTTGGCTCCTGAGGCATGCCCCATGATTTCCATCAGCATTTCTTTACTTTCTGCCATAACAAGATGCTCTAGGGTCCTCCTGTGCCTACCTATCCCAGCCTAGGGGTCAGCCATTTCTTCAAGGAGCCCTAGCTCCTTTCAGTGGGACATAGTATTAGTGATGATGATCTGAACACTAGACATGCTTATTGCTACTGGGTATGGAAGCTTCTGGGACCTTTCAGCAGGCAGATCAGAAACCATACGCACGTAAAAACGCATATACATACGCATACACATGCACATATGTAATACATGAGAACATAAACATACATACACACACACACACACACATAAGTATTATTAAAATCAGAATTTTGCACTGATACCTCTATTCTCCTTCATAGGGTTTAGTTTTTGCTCCCCTCTGCATTTATATGTCTGTCTTCCACAGTGGAAACCCAGGCTCCCAACAATATCCACACATTTAGTCATTTGCTTCATCTTTACATATGAAAGTTTCAGAATGGTTTCACTCATACTGCTATGAAATAATCAAGTTTACTAAAAAGAATTTGGGATTTATCTGAAATCCTACCCCTACTCTATCTATTCCACTCAGCCTAGGCTGAGGATATGGACAGTTGTTCTTATATGGACAGTTTCTTATATGGACAGTTGTTCAATTTGGTGTCCCTGTGAAGGTACATTCACTGCAGGGTTCTATTGTGCCACCTTGCACGATGTTTGTGCTAGAATCTAGTTCTTTCTTTTCTATTTACTGAGTTATGGTATTCATCTGAAATACAATTAAGCAACTAATTTAATTTGCTTTTAATTTTAGGTTGTAATTCATTTTTTAACAGCCAATTTATTCTGTAGCAAAATATCATACAGAATAGTGTCTTAAAATGGCAAATCATAATTTCAAGTAATGAATTTCAATATAAGAGTTGATCGACCACAAAAATCACTGACTGCAAGAGCTTCCAGACAGCAGAAACTGGAAAAATATTTACAAACTGCAGCAAGTGAACATTACCTGGTCTTTGCTACACTAGTTTGTTACAGGAATGATTTTAAGTCAGCTCTGGAGGAACAGGGACACAACAGATAAACATCCGAAAGAAGTTAAAGCAAAAACTCACCTTTTCCAATATGCCGCCTGGTGTTTTCAATAGTGGAATTCCGGTTAACATTGGAGAGCAGCCCAAGGCAGAAACGGTTCTTATTGTTGGAAGGATCAGTGAAACCATCCACCAATACACTTGTGGAGGAGGCATGGAAAGCTTCACCCACACGATTGTTGAGCTCATAGTAGACAATAGAGCACCAGTGTTTTGGTTCCTCATAAGCAACTGCCTGAACATCTATAGGAAAGAAAACATTATATCAACCAAGGTTAGTGCCTCAGGCTCTCAAAAACTGAAACCGTGTGGTTGAATTGGCTTAGGATCATGGAATGAAGACATTGGAAAAGCAATTGCTATTATAATGTATACAGTTTTTCTATGATGTTTAAAGCAGGTACTTCTTAACTAAATATGACATTCTCCTTACTCTAATTGGAGAAAATTGGAAAACCATTTTCTCCAGTTACTATCAGATAACCAAAACACCAGCTAAGGAAGCACAGCAAAAACTTTTGTTGAATATTAACAATATGCTAATTGCTTTATAATATGCAGAAATGGAAATCGCCCCTACCACAGACTTTGGCTCACCATCTAAAGAAACACAACAAGTGACAAGTGAAAAAATAAGTGGGAAGAGAACAATAGAAGATAGGAAATATGCCAAAGGTATTGGCATAAAAATGAATTACTTTTGGCAAGGCTAAGTATGCCTATGCTTATTCAAAGCAATGAAAATCAGTTTCTAATTATTGATAAAAAGTTACTTTACCTCATATTAAGTTGCCAATAACTATCACAGCTACAGTGTTGCTCCAGTTCTCAAACTCAGGAAGAAATCTTGCCAGCTGGCCATTCTTACAGAATGAATCATATCTTTCTCATCCAGATTTCATGCTAACTTCCTTATATTTGCTTTAAGTCATGCAGAGCAGGTGTGTTTTGTCTCTCCATTCCCAGAATGGGCCAACAATGGAAATTACCCAACTTTACTGACAGGATGCAGCTTGTTAAGTCAAATCTCTTAAGACTAACAAATCTCCAAACAGAACATGGTTCTAAACATTTGCAACTAAAAGGCTTTAAAGATGAATTCCTTCTGTAGTAAAACCTCTAGTACCACTGCTTTAGAGATTCCAGGAATACAAACCATATATTTCCAGCATACCAATAATATAATGATCTGAGGTTTTGAAGTCTTGGGTGTACAATAATAACAGAAAGAAAAGAAAGAAAGTCCACATCAGAAGCCCAGACTATAACTGCTACGGAAGAAACACCTCTGTGTTCTTAACATCAAATTCCACAAATACTAAAATGGACTTTTAGAAATTGGTAAAAAACAAAACAAAACAAAAACAACAACACACACCACACACACACAAGAAAAAAAAAAAACCAAGGAAAATACTCATTAAAAAACCCACACGTAAGTTAGCTGCTTTATATATGTAAGTAAGTTATCTAAAAACATACACTATCTTCCCTGCTTGCTAAGCAACTCTACCACGTCAATTTGCCATAATCCAAAGAGCAAAACTTTAGTGATTTAAAAGTGCCAAATCTTAAAGCAGACTGTAACATTATTAACAGAAGGCTTTTATCAGCTATCAGGATACTTCAAAATACTATTCATCTAGGTCAGAGGTTGATACATTTTTTCTGTGAAAGGCCAGAAAGATTTTGTGGGCTGTATAATCTTTATCACAACTATCCAGTTCTCCCCTTGTAACACAGAAGCAGTCATAGACAATATGTAATGAATGAATATAGCTGTGGCCCGATAACGCTTTATTCACAAAAACAGATAGCAGGCCGAACTGGCCTGTGGGCTGTAGTTTGTTGATCCCTGCTCTAGGAAAATCACCAAAGGTTAAAAAGAAGTAAAAAAAAAAAAAAAAAAAGGCAGGGAAGAAAAAAAATGGCCAACATTCCTTCCTCGTGAAAATACTGACTATAAAGAAAAAAAATATTTAAAGCTATTTAAATGAAAAAAATCTTAAAGCAATTTAAAGATCTGTTTCCTGAAATCAGACATTTTGGGTTTAGCAATAATAGTTACTGGGTCCACATGCTCCTAATAGTGTGGTACTGTGCCTATTCTCCCCTGGTATCCTGGTCTCCAAATATAAATTCCACAGATGTGTGAAATAAGGGTTATTTCCCCCAACCAGAGTGTTCATTGACAAAGAATTATGTTTGATAAGATGTTTAAGAGATAATCAGGAACCATAAAACACAGAGGTAATAAAAAAGATTTAAAAATCATATTGATTAAAACGGTGTACATTCCAATCGATGACACTGTATATCCAAGAAAGGTCCTTTGAGTTCATCACCAATTTTTTTTTTTTTGGGTTGGGGGGACTGAGTTTTACTCTTGTTGCCCAGGCTGGAGTGTAACGGTGTGATCTCGGCTCACTGCAACCTCTGCCTCCTGGGTTCAAGTGATTCTCCTGCCTCAGCCTCCCAAGTAGCTAGGACAACAGGCACCTGCCACCACACCCAGCTAATTTTTGTATCTGTAGTAGAGATAGGGTTTCACCATGTTGGCCAGGCTGGTCTCAAACTCCTGACCTCAGGTGATCCACCTGCCTCAGCCTCCCAAAGTGCTAGGGATTACAGGCGTGAGCCACCACACCCAGCCTTCATCACCAATTTTTAAATCGATGTTTAGAGCAGTTTTACATTCACAGCAAAATTGAGTATATGATAGAGTGATTTTCCATATGTCCCCCACCCCCACACCTTCCTAGCCTCCCCCATTATTAATATCCCCCACCAGAGTGGCACATTTGTTGTAACTGATGAACCAACATTCATGCTACAGACCTACACCCGAAGTCTACAGTTTACATCAGGGTTCACTCACAATGGTGTACATCCTATGGGTTTGGATAAATGTATAATGACAGGCAGTTACCACTGTATAATGTATCATAGAGACAAAATCAATTTTAAGTACTTAAAAATATAAGCAACTCCTATTTTAATAAGTATCTCCTATTTTAATAAAAAAGCACTAAGAATGAAGTAAGACATACCTAGTAACCAAACTGCACTTTAACTTCAATTTGCATAAACATTATATAAACTGCATGACCCATGCCATGTGTTGAGTGCAGCAGCAAAGCACTTTCCTTCATGAGACGTTACTTAGGAACAGTTTTATTTGCTAGTGTGGCTGTGGATTCTAACACCTTCTCAGAGAGTCTACCAAACTCATTTACCTGAGTTCTCTGCTCACTTAAGTCTATGCCACTTGCCTATGCAGGGCTGGAAGAGTGACGGTGTCCTCCACCCTGTCACTGCTAAGGACAATACAGTGCTGGAATCAAAGACCCGCCTGTTACTAGAGGGGGAAGAAATTTTCATTTCTGCCTGCAAGTTCTTCAGGCTGAAAAGGGGAAAAACTTGTGCCTCAATTTCTTTCAGTAACAAAGTTAGAAACAAACAGCAAGAAAGAAATTCTATTAGTTTGTTCCAGTTGTAGTTACAGACATAAAAGGGCTGAAAAATAGATGGGGTTTATGAGTATCTATCCTAATTACAGAAGAAGGCCTTTGGACAGCCCAGTTATACCAACTTCCAACTTTGGAAATCACCAGTGAAAACTCTACTTTAGTTCTGTTATACTTATGGTTTCTAAATACCATTTTGTTCATTTAAAAATACTCTTTTTGGCTAGGTGTGGTGGCTCACGCCTATAATCACATCACTTTGGGAGGCCAAGGTGGGCGGATCACCTGAGGTCAAGAGTTCATGACCAGCCTGGCCAACATGGTGAAACCCCATCTCTACTAAAAATACAAAAATTAGCTGGGTGTGGTGGTGTGCACCTGTAATCCCAGCAACTCAGGAGGCTGAGGCAGGAGAATCACTTGAACCCAGAGGTGGAGGTTGCAGTGAGCCAAGATTGTGCCATTACACTCCAGCCTGAGCGACCTGAACAAAACTCCATCTCAAAAAAAAAAAAAAAAAAATTCATCATCAGTTAAAAATGATTAAGTATTAAAGATCTAAACAGATAATTGCAAAATTATTCTCAGGTCTTCATTAGTTAAGTCAGTATATTTTTGTTCTTTAAATGAAAGACTTACTTGTTATCCAGGAATTCTACTGAGCTTCTCTTATCATTGGGCTCTATTTTTCTCAAATAGCTCTCTTTTTAAAGACTAACAACAATTTGTGAGAGAAAGTAACATCTGGACAAACTTTAGACTCTAAGAAAGGGAACAGGTAGCAATTAGTTTTACCTCCTCTGTTGATTTCTGAGGGCAGGGGAGGCGCCATCATGTTTGTGTCCATCGGCTGGGAGCCATCCTGGGTCATGGGGTCTTCAGGAGGCAGGTAAGCAGGTGGGGGCGTATCAGCTACGAAGTTTTTAAAGAAGTTATTTCTTAACCCTTAGTAAACATACACGCTCAAAACACATATCCTCTTCTGTACTGAAATTCTTAAGAGATCAAGTTGCCATTTCAATCTCCCCATTAAAAGACTAACGGCTACAGGCACTGGCCTTGATGTACAATTTCTGAAAAGTATTAACCATGCCACAATCATACACATTTTTGTCAAAATTCAGTGGGAGGAAAAGTATTATACTATATGCCAGTTCTAGAAGCTGTTTGCCTATCCAGGATCATGCTATTTAAAAGCAATCAGAAGAGTATTTTAAGCATACTTTAATATAATCTGCTTTGAGAGAACCTCTGCATTTCAGTTTCACTGGTAGATGGAAAACCTCTGAAAGCTTCAATGGACTTCTTAAGAAAAGGAGTTTCACGGTCTTTTGCATTAAATCTCTAGACTTTTAGAAAATTTACCAACTGAGTTTCATTACAGCCTACTGATTTGAACTGTTAATTTTCCAGGACTTTAGGGAATCTGTTAGGATCACATTCTCCCTACCCATTTAAATGATCACTAGCTTTAAAACCTCTAGCAACAGAGTAATAGAAAATGAATCAGTTTGTCACAGCTATCTTCTATTTCAGAATTTACATATATGTTTCTTCTGGTAAATAAGAGGCAAACATGATTTTTTAATTTAAACAAAGAACACTAACACAAGTCTTGCATTTTCTTAATATAAAACAAAGGGTATAGGCTTCTCACAAATAATCCTCTTCCATCCAAAAGCAAGTTCCTCACTAGCTATCATGAGCCCGTCTAGCATACGTGACAGTCTTGGAGACAAAATTTTACCTGAGGGAATCGCGAATGCTTGGATAAGTAATTGAGACCACTCAGAGCAACTGTCAAATACACATAACTCATGCTGTTCCTTCAGAAAGCCCCAGTGATTTCCAAGACTCACTCTCCAGCTGAATCATAACCCAGTAACTTCACATCCAGCTGCTAACAAGCAACGATTCATAGTACTGAGACAGGACCACTGGGATCTTCTCTGGATGCCTCTTTTGCCCTTTCTCCAGCTTCTTCTAATTCAGCCTCTTCCCTGCAGCTGTAAGCCTGACTCGGCTTTATCTCAAGCCGGGAACAAAGACAAAGAGCCTCCTCTGAGCTCAAGTCAATGAATTTCTGCCAAGAAGCTGGTGAAAATTTCATTGGCAACCTGTGGCATCAGCACAACCAAGAGGGACCCGATAATTCTTGATACTATTCTACTATTCCTACAAACACCTCCTCCCGTCCCTTGCAACTGTTTTCCGTATTTCTGTTACTTGGCCTGTGCCTTAATCTCTGACATCTGGGGACAAAGTGTAAATTCAAGCAATAACCTTTAATTCAATCTTGTGGCCACTCTGGGCTGCCGTCACTGCTCAAAAGTCTTCTGAAATGTATCTCTTCGCCACTAACCTGCCCATCATACAGGTTAGTGGTGAGGGGGAAGGGAGTGAAGTAGACGGGAAGTCACCAGTTACTTTAATTTTTAAACTAGTCTATCTCCCAACTCTCATCCCAAACAGCTTTGGAGTGAAAACCAGACAAAGCAATGTGAAATAAACAAGATTTAAATAAAAGAAAGTAATAAATACATAAATAAAAGGAAGTAATATAAATGTGGACCACTTTTCAATTTTTGAAGGCCTAGCACTGATGCTGAATTCAAATTTACTTAAAAACATTTCAAGGAGCCCAATAAATACACTTGCCCAGTCCTTTTCCCTTCCAAAAACATTAATAGATATTAAGTATATTTTTGTTTAGGGTATCCTTCTTAAGGTCTACTGGCAAGAAATCTGCCACTCTTTTTTTTTTTTTGGAGATGCTTGCTCATTAACCTGCAACTTCAAAATATATAATGTCCTTATTAATCATGTATTTTGATAACTATTACACCATCAGTTATGTCTAAAAAAAGAGGGTAATTGTTTTTTGTCTTTGCTAAGTTGAACAAGCAGATGGTTTCCAGTACTTCTGTCGTAATTCCTTTGTTGTTAAAGTATACATTTCTTGGGATTACATCATCATTTAAATGAATTTAATTAAGTAGGGGGTGGGATCATCCCTCAGGAAATACTTTTTCTGAGGTTGCACTTACAACAGGAATTTTTTCCATGTATGAAAACGATGCTAATTGAACTTGTGCTCTCATAACAGCAAATGTGTGTAACACACTATTTTTCTTTTTATCAAGAGTAAAGACTGTAACAATTATGCCACTCCCAGAAGGATGCAGCTGTTTCAAAACCTTTTAAAAAACAAGGGAAAAATATAGCTTATTCAAGCATCTGTGCCTGACAAATATAAAATAAGACATTTGCTTACTTGGCTACGTCGTCTCCTTTCTCCAAAAGTTGTATACTAAAAGTGCGAGAGCACTATGTCATATACCGGGACTGAAAACCTCCCTCCACTGCAGGTTGACCCAGTTTTTCCATGACACTGTGATAACACTGATGTGACCACAGAACATCACTGAACATTCCAACCTACCTGGCATCTGGAAAGGACTTCCTGGGTCTGAGCTGGTGGGAGAGTGAGGGTAGGTGCTGCTGCTGCTCCCAGGAGAGTTTGGGTAACTGCTATTGGGAGAGTGAGGAAACGGGTGGCTGTTGGGTTGCTGGAAAGAATCTGGAAAAGTGGCGTTGAGTGGCATGTGAGGCTCATTTTGTCCTAAGTTACGGAACTGAGCTAAGAGGCTGTGCTGAGGATTATATTCGCTGTGTCTTGGAACCAGCACAGGAGGAAGTACTAGAAAAAGGAAGGGAAAAAAGAGAAGGACAAAAATGAGAATGATGATCTATAATTACATCACAATAAAGTAAAACATAATCTGTAAGCAACAACAAATTATCTGTTCCATGCCCTGCTGCCAACTCAAAAGCATCATTCAAATGAAAAGCTATTTTACCCTCAAGAACAAATGCAGGAACAAATACAATCCCTTTAGAATCACTGATGACCTACGCCTGAGATTTGCAGTATTCACAAATTGCCCAAGGAAAGTTGGCAAAATACAATCTTTTAGGTTACAAATGTTAAGGTTCTCTCATTCTTAATTTTTTCATTCACTAAAAACCAAAGCATAATTGTTTATCACCATTGACACTTATACTTCACAGCCCCAGCTGGTAAGACTTCACATTTGAGTTAATGCTTATTGAATGATATGAATTATTCACCACAAGTGTTTTAAGCTGACACACTAGTTCACTTTAACACAAAAAAAGCAGCATAGTAAATAGAGCTGAAGAGGTAAAATCAGTGAACTGTAGAAAACTCAAATGCCATGAAGATAATTATACAAAATATGAGGCGTTTTGTGGGACAGAATTTATCTTGAATCCTGTCCTAGGAGTCACACTTTATGAACATCTTTTTTCTAAGGATCTTACCCACTTTTCAAGAATCCTTACCACCACCTGTGAGGTCAAGAAAGAAATAGGTCATACAATTCACATTTTGCCAACTGAAAACTCAAGGTACAAAGGTGGCCCAACAGGCAGGCACCTGTTGAGAAGCAAAGAAAACAACTCCTGTCACTCCTAAATGCTCTATATTAGGAACCTAAGCAGTTAATAATTGGCATGGTCATCAACCTCCAGAAACCTCCTGAAGCAAAGCCACTATAAATATAATTATCCTAGAAAGGTAGGGCTGGCTAACAGTCAGTTACAGAGCCCAGCCAGATCCTAGGGTTAGATCCTAAGTTTCCCTACCAGGGTCACCAGATGGATGCTCTAACAAAGGCCTTTGCAATCCCTCCAGCTCCCGTGGCCTCAGCTGCAAAGAGAAAAGCAACCCATTTTATAAACTGCATGAGAGGAGAGATTTAAAACTTATGATTATTGTTGGTTGTTAGGAATCTCCCCAAAGAAACAATATTTGGTGGCAACAGGAATTTAGCAGACTTTTGAGGGCTTTCCAGGGAATCTATGCATAATTTATATCATTTCTACAGTAAAAAGTGCTCTTAACACTTGGATTATCACTTTTTTATGAACTGAACATTGTTTTTTAGATAAAAATAGGTATTTTAAAAAGTATTAAAATTTCTCATGTGCTACATTTTATACTCCTACATAATCCCATAGCATCAGATTTGTTATTTCCCTATTTGATCCTTTAGGAACAAATCTTTTGAGTATATAATAAATGTATTTTCTTTTTAGTACAGTGATGGAATCTTCCCAAACCAAACCATTAAAAGCATAATTTCTTCTTCTACCTTTCAATAGTCATCTGAACTATAAAATGCTTTTGTTTTGTTGAAGAAACATTCCTGATAAGGGATCCCCAATGCCAATAAAAATTTATATTCCCAAACAGTCCAATTCCTTTCAATTACCTTTGCAACGATAAACGTTCCCTTTTCTTTTAGCTGCTGTGACTTGAGTTGCCATTTCCCAGCTTGCCTTTTACAGGCATCTAGCTATGGTCTCAATTACGATTTTTACCCGTAAAAGGAGGAAACATTGGCCCCTGAACCCCTCCCCACAAATGCAGCACCATACAGCAACTAGAATCAATCTGTCATGTCCTCTATCCTTCAGAGGACCGCTCCCTCCCAAAACACACTCACAGAGTCCATTAAGGTTGGTGCAAAAATAATTGTGCTTTTTGCATTTAATGGCAAAGACTGCAGTAACTTTGCACCAACCTCACACTTAGTGGAGCATCTGTTTTAGCAGTTCCTGTTTCCTAACAGTTTTAGAACTGGAGACTTACTTGTTCCTACTACTTGCAGATGGGGGTTGTCAGGGAGGAAGAACTAGCCTTTGCAATGGCCACAGCAAAGGGCAATGTATTTCTGCTCCCCAAGTTGATAATCTGCATACGTGTTCCTCAAAATGTGAGATTCATCCAATGTTGTGTGTGTAGCATCTTGTTATGTGTATAAACTACAATTTATTTGATGATACAATTTTGTCTTCTGCTGATAAATACTTGGGTTGGGGAAAAGAAAAACCACCCAATGCTTGGGTTGTTTCCAGCTTGAGGAAGTTATAAAAACTTTTATGAACTTTAAAAAATGTAACTTATTTTGAAATAACTTCAAACTTACAGAAAACTGCAAGAGTACAAAGAACACTCAAATATCCTTTACCCAGATTCACCAATTTTTAACATCTTGCCACATTAACTTACTCATTCTCTCTCCTCCCTTCCCCGGCCCCAGAACACAAATACACTTCTGAATTATCTGAGAGCAGGTAACATACATATCCCTTTTTCCTAAAGCATTTCAGAGTAACTCCCAAAAGGAACATTGACTTACATATACACATTTGTTATCAAACTTGGGAAATTTAACATTGCTAATTTTATCTAATATAAAATCATATTCCAACTCTGTCAACTGTCTCAACCATGTCCTATGTAGCAAGTTCCTGACACAGGACCTAAGGTAGAATCACACATTGTACTTTGTTGTCATTATTTCTTTAGTCTCCTGTAATCTAGAATAGTTCTTCAGCATCTTTTTTCCTTCCTGCTTTCATGCTACTGACATTTTTGAATACAGGCAGTTATTTTACAGACTGTTTCTCAATTTGGGTCCCTCCAATGCTTCACCGTGATTAAACTCTCAGATTTTTGGTTAGACTACGAGGTAAGTGGTATTATTCCCTTCTCAGTTCATACACACAAAAGCACACGATGTGTCTGCCTGTTTGAGGTTTAATCCTGATCCCTTGGTTAAGGTATTGCGCATTTCTTCCACTGCAGACAGTTACTGTCTTTCCTTTTGTAATTAATAAGTAGTGAGACACTAGACTGTGTAAATATCCTGTTCCTCATCAAGCTTTATTCCCTATATTTAGCATCCATTTTGCTTGAATAAATTTTTGCTATAATGGTTGTGAACTGGTGAATTTTAACTCCATTATTCCTTAATTATTAGTCAGAATTCTAATATGAGGACGTGCTTTTCTATCTCGTGTCTATATATACGTATATATAATAGTCATCAGTATGGCTTCATGGATTCTTAATCAATGAACTATAATCTATAACTGTCTTTATTTTGATGGTGATATTGTCTTAGATTTGGCCATTGGATGCCTGTTCAAGCTAGTCCTTGTGCCTTTGTAACATGTTCCAATTATTTGAATATTTCTTAATTTCTGGAACAAGACATTCCAGGCTTATCTCTTACCTTCCCTTTCCACCAGTCTAGCAATCTCTGGTTCCCTTTAGTGAGGAATAGTATTTAGAAACCAAAATCTGGGATGTGGCTGTGTTCTGTATGTCTACTGGAGCCACACTGATTCTAAGCCGTGTGTGTGTGCGTGTGTGTTAGAAATTGGGTTATGCTGTTACATTCAAGTGTAAGCCAACTCCACAGGGTTTTCATTTGCCTTTCTCTATTTCCTATCTGTATCTCCTTACTTCAACAGTGAGAACCTTGGCTACCAACATCAAAGTATTTATAAATGTGCTTAATTCTACAATACACTGAAAAAGTTTCAGAAATTATAAAATAAACCTACTAAGTTTTGGGTTTATTTTCTTTAATTTTTTTTTTTTTTTGGTATACAAAGTACTTGGATTCATTCAAATTCATTTAAAATCTACTTGGATTCATCCCCCTCTTCAGTGTTATTTTATTATTTTGAAATTTTATTCAATTTCTCCCTTTCACAGTTAGTTTATCTGAATACATCTGTTGCTGTTTGCACTTAGTTTTAGGAATTTCCCTCTCTCATTCTTGTTGACTTAATTTTACTTTGTAAATACAGACAATATTAACATGATTTGAAAGTCAAAACAATACACTCCCTACCCTGTCCCTTCTAACTTAGTCCTCCAATTTTAACGTCCTCATAGGGTCACCAATTTCCTTTTCTAGTTTATCCTGTGTTTCTTCTTGAAAAAAGCAAGCAGATAAATGGATGCTTTCTTATTTCGTCTTTACTGCTAAAAAGAAAGGTAGCCTGCTATACATGCTCTTTTGCACTTTGCTTTTTTCACCTATATAAGAGAAATAACTTTCTATTAGTGCACAGAGGTCTTCCTCATGTGGTTTGACAGATAATAACACCAAAGTTCATTTAACAATCTCCCATATCTGGCCATTTAGGTATTTCACAGTATTTTGCCATAAAATGTAATACTGCAATGACTGTGCATATATATGGTAGCATTGTCAAAGGTGTATCTTCAGGGCACATTCCTAGATGTGGAAATGCTGGGTGAATGGGTAAATGCATATATAACTTTGTTATTGTCAAGCACCCCTTCCCAATGGTTGCACCATTTTGCACTGTCACACAGGAGTGCCTTTTTCCCACATCTTCCAGAATAGAGTCTGTCAAGCTTTTGAATCCTGACAACCTGATAGGTGAGAAATGGCATTTTGGTGTAATTTTAATTTACATTTCTCTTATAAAGAAAGTTGATCATCTTTTCATGTATTTCAGAGAGTGCTTTTCCATCTTTTTCTGTGAACTGCTGACTTATGCCTTTTGCCCATTTTTGGTATTTTCACCCTTCATTAAAAACAACATACTAGAGATACTAGCCTGTGATATACGTTGTGGATATTTTACGATTATCATTTGTCTTTTCACTTTGCTTATGTATATTTTTTGGTAGTCACATTTATCAACATTTTATTTTATTGTATATGGATTTCTGAGTCCTAGAAAGTCTTCTCCTATATCCAGGTTATAAGGAGGAATTCATCCATGCATACTTCTAGTGCATATAAAGTTTCATAATTTATTCAGATCTGTGATCCCTTTGGAGTT